CTCACACATACACACACACACACACACACACACACACACACATACAATTTGGTATATATATTTTCTAGAAATTAAATCACATTCAGGAACCATTTGAAGATGTGGATCAGTGGTAACTCTCATGTGTGAATGTAAGTTGGTATACCCACTATGGAAAAACAGTTTGGCAGTATCTACTAAAACTAAAGATCCACATATTCTATACCTAGCAGTTCTACTCCTGGGCTTAAGTTCTGCAACTGTGCATGCATATATACCTAGTAAGCTTACACTTGAATATGCCCTATGATCCAGTAATTTCACACCAGTGTCTTTATCCAGAAAAACTTTCATATATGCAGGACAGATTGATAGGAATGGCCATAGATTGTTCATGTTGGCCAAAAAGACTGTGATACAATATCAACAGTAGAATTGACAAATGAGTTTTGATATAGTCATACAGTGAATACTATATTAACAGTGAAAACAAATGAACTATAGCAATGCTTTTACTAGCTGAATCTCAGAAACCATGACAAAGTAAGCAATTCAAAAATACATAAAGTATAATTCCATTTATATAAATTTCAAAACTGGGGAAATGAAACCATACTGTAAAGGATGCATTCATAGGTGGGAAAATACCTACTTGAGGAATGATAAACATAAAATTAAAGACAATATTTATCTCTGGGAGAGACAGAAGGAATATTATAAGTGAGAGATGCAGAGAGGCTACTATGAAATTTTAGAGACATTTTCTGTAAAGTTAGATATAATGCAAATATGTGTCCTATCACAACTACTACTTACTGGCTACAGGTGTAAGCTAATGCAGTGCATTACTTTGCTAGGGCTGCCATAACAAATACCACAGTCTGGGTGGCTTAAACAACAGAAATTTATTTTCTCATAGTTCAGGAGGTTGGAAGTTTAAGATCAAGACGTTGGCAGGCTTGTTTTCTCTTGAGGCCTCTCTCCTTGGCTTGTAGATGGCCATCTCCCTCTGCCGTCTTCACATCTTTCCTCCTTGTGTGCCTGTGCTAATCCCTGCTTATTAGGGGACCAGTCACATTGCATTAGAGCCCGCCGTAATGACCTCATTTAATCATGTTTACTCCTCTTTAAAGGTTCGTCTCCAAACACGGTCATATTCTGAAGTGCTGACAGTTATGACTTGAGATGTGAATCTGAGGTAGACACAACTTAGCCTATAACTTATAGTATGACCAAAAAAAAAGGCTCTAAGGATTGGAACTGTAGCAAACAATATTATTGAGAGAAACATATAAAAATACATAGATTTCAAATTTATTCATATTTAGTACAAGTTTAATAAGGTTGCTGCTGCATGTAACATTCTTGAACCAAAGTGAATAAAATATTTCTGCACCAGCAATAGTAATTTGAAACTGTATTATCAAATAAGATACATTTTACCATAGCAAGAAAAACTATTAGATACTTAGTGTACCTAACAGAGGTACAGATGTGTGTGTGTGTGTGTGTGTGTGTGTGTATAATGTATTGGGGTGAGATTAGTTAGTAAGTTTATATAGGTTTCACGTGTACGTTTCTATGCTACATGATCTGTATATTGCATTGTGTGCCCACCACCCAAAGTCAGATCAACTTTCGTCACCATATACTTGCCCCCTTTACCCTTTACTACTCCCTATACCCCCTTCCCTCTGGTAACCATCATACTGTTGTCTGTGTCTATGAGTTTAAGTTTTATATCCCACATATGAGTGAAATCATATGGTTCTTAGCTTCTTCTGACTGACTGACTTTGCTTAGCATAATTTTCTCAAGCTCTATGCATGTTGTTGCAAATGGCAGTATTTCATCTTTTCTTATGGCTGAGTTGTATTCCATTATGTGTATGTCCCACATCTTCTTTATCCAATCCTCTATTGAAGGACACTTGGGTTGTTTCCATGTCTTGGCCACCGTGAATAATGCTGCAGTGAGCATGGGGGTGCATATATCTTTACAAATAAAAGTTTTCAAAAATTTTAGGGTAGATACTCAGAAGAGGGATTGCTGGGTCATATGGTAATAACTCTGTTCTTAATTTTTTGAGGAACCTCCATACTGTTTTCTATTGTGGCTATACCAGTTTACATTCCCACCACCAGTGAATGAGGGTTCCTTTTCTCCACAACCTTTCAACACTTGCTATTACTTGTCTTGTTGATAATAGCCATTCTAACAGGTGTGAGGTGGTATTCCATTGTAGTTTTGATTTGCATTTTCCTAATAGCTGGTGAAGTTGAGCATATTTTCATTTATCTGTTGGCCATTTATATGTCTTCTTAGGAGAAGTCTTTGTTCAAGTCCTCTGCCCATTTTTAAATTGGATTGTTTGTTTTTATTTTGTTGAGTTGTATGAGTTGTTTATATATTTTAGGTATTAAACCCTTGTCATGGTTGTTGTTTGCAGATATCATCTCCTATTTGGATGGTTGGCTTTTTGCTTTGTTGTCACTTTCTTTTGCTCTACAGAAGCTTTTTAGTTTGATATAGTCCCATTCATTTACTTTTGCCTTTACTAATTTTCATGTAATGTATGTATATTAACTGTATAATAAGACAAAATTATACTCATTTAAGAAAATTATATGAATCCTTTAAAAGGCAACTATAATTCTAGGTAACTGAGTTCAATCCATCAAGTATTTATTTTGTACCTATTTGCAATGCTGCAATATAATTCTGACACTAACTACCGGAGTTCTTGTCAGACTCGACAGGTTTAAGGACCCAGCCCCCAATAAGACTGCCTTCATTTCAGATGCCAGCTGCCAGTTCAAGGTTCCCAGGCCACCCATACTTCTGACCAATTGGCTACAAATCCATGCAGTTCCCACAACTCACCTCAATTTCAGTAATTTGCTAGTCTGCCTCATTAGGACTGTGGAATCTGCTACACTTAAAATTACAGTTTATAATTATTATAAGGGACACAAGTAAGGACCAGCCAAATGATGATCACATAGGGCAAGGTATGGGAGGGCCTCAAACCCAGAACTTCTGTGCTCTCTCCCCATAGTCTCAGGTATGTCACCCTCATGTCACATCAGTGTATTCATCAAACTGAAAGCTACACTGAGCTTGGGAGTTTCATTGTATAAGTATGATTGATTGGATCATTGGCCACATGATTAAACTGTCTCCAGTCCCTCTCCCTTCCCCTCAGAGGTTGGCTAGCTCAAAGCCCCAACGCTCTAATCACATGGTTGTTCTTTCTGGTGATCAGCATCTTAGCCTAAACTCAGGTGTGACGCATGGATATAGAGTCTGCCTCCCAGGAATCTGGGACAAAGGCATCAACTTCTTTATTACACAACACTACTACATATAAGAGACTAAGATAGGTACCAGAAAGGGGAGAGAGATTCCCAGCCTGAATGGAAAATAGATTTTAATAAAATTTAACAGTGTTTAAATTTAACAGAAGACAAAGAAATGAATGTGTCCGTTGGATGATCTATATCAGAAGAAATTAAATTATTACTAAAATAAACTGCTTAAAGTCAGTCAGGATCTGCCGGTCATTTACTAGTTGTGTGACCTCGGGTGAGTTACTTGTGTTTTTTAAGACTCAGTAAAATATACAAAATGAGGATTGTCTTTTAAAATTAAATGAGGTATTGTATTAGCCCCATTGAGGGCATTCAGTGAAAGGTAGCTATGCTTTTGTGGTCTTAAATGCTGGCCAAATACATGGAAACAGTTAAAATGAAAGAGAAGTTAATATATAGTAGAGATGATAAAAATAAGGTGTAGAAAATGCATTTAAAATGTTTTTAAATCTCTTGCTCTAACAAAAATATTTTAGTGTTGTGTAAACAGTAAATACCCCAGCTTTTCATCATTATTCATACCTGAATTTTTACCTCTCTGCCATTGCGACCCATTACCTGCAGTGCAGAGACCACACCATGAAGGAAAGGAAAGCCAGGATTCACAGGCGGACTTCAGAGAGTCCCTAAAGCCCCTAAAAATACCTCTCCTGTCTTTGGCATCCAGGGATTTCTTATTTGCATGCTAACTCCACTTTGTAATGAAAAGGATGATTTCTAAATGTCACAGAACATTTTCAGGTAAAATTACATCAGGAAAGGTTTGTCTAAAGTGCTTCTAAACTCAAATATGCATAAAAGTCTCCTGGGCATCGTGTTGAAAACACAGATTCTGGTTCAGCAGGCCTGAGAGGGAACTGAAAGTCTGCATCTCTAACAACCCCCCCGTAATGCTTGGGCTATTGGACTTTGAGGAGCAAGAATCAGACCTAGAAATAGAAGTGGTTTCTAGTGTTTTCTTCAGTGTGTTATTTAGCAGACTAATTTTTAAATTTCAAATTATTTCAAGTTATCTCTACAAATCCTTTAATAATTTTTCTTCACATTTAACCAAACTATATTTTCACTTAGTTGTTTTCAACACAGTATAAAAATACATTCAAAATTGTTTTAGTATATAAAGAGTGATTCAAATGTTTAAATTTTCCAAAATAGTTTTCCCCCCACCAGCTGTGATAGTTTGATTTTAAAAAACAAAACAAAACAAAAAACAACAACAGTTGAAGTCTGTGTTCTTTAATGACTAAGGTAAAATTAGAAAAAAATTGAAAGTGTACACAATAACTTAATGTCCTTGTCCCCTAACTTCATCTAATGTCATAATTCTTTGAGTCACTATTAAAATATTCTTCATTCCTTCCTGATATAACCCTTTGTCCATTTACTTCTACCACAAAGCCCCCTAAATACCAGAGGCCTACAGAGAACAGTATGTGAAGCCAGGGGATCACCTCTGACCTTAATTAGGAAGTCCACCTTTTTCAATGGCTCCATGAAAATGTACTTTTCTAACTGGCTCCACAATTTACTCACTGTTTTATCTTAATTTGATTACCATATATACATTAATCTAATTATTAAATTTATTTGCAATTTTTGGTATCTCTAATTGAGCTACCAATTGTAGCATCTTTATCATTTATTTTATATTTAAACTCTGGGCAAATGTTGGCTTTTGTGGTTGAATGAACTATGGGTAGAGAATAGGATAAATATACCCATGTCTCAGATCTTCTAAGTGAAGAATTCTTTTTACATTGGCATTTAGATATTTTTATCTTGTTTAGAATTAATTTACCTATTAATCAGCATTATGATACCTTATGTCATAGGAATTAAATCAAATGCTCTCAGAAACACCACCAGTTTGGAAAGGATCATCAAAGCTATTTCGAAACCTTAAAGAAAGAGGTAAGTTAACTTTAGTATTTATATATTTGAATATTGACACAATATTGACACTTATACTGTATATATACAGATTTTTCTCATACTTAAAATAATTTTACAGCTATGTGTACATTGAGAAAAAACTGAAGAGAAAAACACAGAAATATAATAATGGTTATTTCTGGGTAGTGGGATTAAGGGTGGTTTTAATTTTACTTTATATATATATTACTAGAGGCCCGGTGCACAAAAATTTGTGCACTGGCGAGGATGGGGGAAGGGTGTCCCTCAGCCCGACCTGTGCCCTCTCACAGTCTGGGACCCCTCGGGGGATAACCACCTCCTGGCTTAGGCCCGCTCCTCAGGTGGCAGATGGCAGGCCCGAACCCGGGGTTGGGGCGGGCGGCGGATGGCACAGCCCTGCCCCGACACCCCGGGTCACCCAGGGCAGGCCCGATCCCAGGGTTGGGGTGGGCGGCGGATGGTGCAGCCCCGCCCCGCCTGCCTGTAGTATGCAAATTTAACGGCCATCTTTGTTGGGTTAATTTGCATACTCTTCTGATTGGCTCGTGGGCATAGCAAAGGTACGGTCAATTAGCATCTTTGTCTTTTATTAGTGTAAATTATATTTTCTAAATTTTTACAACAAAATGAACTTTCACAGGTTTAAAAAAACATTTTTAACCATATTGAAAAGTATAGGCTATATTTACCCATAGAAAGCATTTTTCAAAAATACTGATTTTTAAATGTCTGTTACTTCCAGGGAATTATAGATTTTCTTAAGTTTAATTAATATGAAAAAAATTATTGAATCTGTGGTTGGCCACTCAATTTTAACATGTTTCTTTTAAAAACAACACTTACCACAAAATTCACTTATTTTAACTTACTCTGTTACCCATATCTGTGTATCTAACTTAACTCACTAATTCATACATACAGTCAAATTATATAGTTTTTATTGCAATTTTTGCAATGTAATTTTTGTACATATTTATGCAAAAACTAATAAAATCTTTAAGATTAATTTAGTCTTAAAAATAATGTTTTTTTGAAGTATTCTCAACAATGAGAGTATATAATATAAAAATATTAAAGAAATTACATAAAATTACCTTTTTCTTTTTCATCATTTTTAACCAATACTGTTTGGAAAATGTATTTACTCTAGTATGAAGACAAATAGTTTAAAGGAGTAGTTATAATCCATATATTTTGTCTAGTAGAATTAGAAATTCAAACTGCTTCTACCTGGTTCTCATGGAATCTGAAAGGAGGAACACTGTACCTTTTATTTTAGGCCTTTCATAAGGTAGGATTTTTACCTCTTCGCAAAATCTGGGCCAAGGTATCTTTAAAGCTCTTAGAAATTTTTTCCTGGGAGTTGTCTTAAAGATTGCTGTTCAGATCTTAGGGTGGGATGATAAGGTCAGGAAAAGTATTCGACCAGATCAATTTGAACAACAGTCAGTAAGATGGGACTGTGGAGACAGAGAGCCCGTTTCCTGATCCCATTTCCTTTTTTCCCTCCTGCATTTATTCTTTCTTTTTCACTTTTCGTTTTTTTGAGGGATCCCTATGGAATCTAGGTATTGTATCTTTATATACATTGACCATTCCAGAATCTTTCTCCCATAGCATTCATGGCAATCAACCAGAACTATGTCTATAGGTCACAATATTCTAGTATAAACAAAAGAGGGGAATGCTTTCAGGGCTTCCTGGCTCAGTCCCTTCATGTCTTCTGACAAACTGCCTGACAGTGACTCCTCTTCTCTTTGTTCTATGACAAAGAGGGTAGCTTCAGAGAACACAGGTAAAATGGAGGTTTAAAGTTCACAGTCTGATTGTGTAAGGATTTTTTATACTCTTTAACCAAACATCAGGACTATCTGATATCTGGTTAAGTGTTATTGGCTTATTCCCGACTTTTTCTCAGGATCTACTTAGAAAGTAAATTAATGCATTAATTCTAGTTTGGGGTATTATAGTCTAAAAGAAAGAATTTGAGTAACAGGATGTATATTTTTATTTACCCCACACTAACTCCTTTTAAAGTTTGTAATTCTGGGATAACAGAGAACTCATGCTTCAGTATACAGAAAGCATAAGCCATTTAATTAAAATATAAACTTTTTAGATTACATTTAATAGAAGCATTAAGTTTACAAATGATAATGACTTATGTCAGCAAAAGGATAACTATAGAGTTTTGTTTTTTGAATGTATTACAGAAATCAAAATTTTAAGCAAGAATTGTTTTATAAACTGCTACTAAGAATTAAGCACTTTACAATGTTAACCATTTCCAACCTTTTTGTTTTATGTTTGATTCATACACTGAAAACTAGCCATAAGTTTAAAAGTTGCAGCATAAGTAAACATAATAATAATTATTTTTGTTGCCAATATATCTGGAAGCATTATGGTAATTTTATATGGGTTTCTTTAGAGACATGAAACAATGAAAGTAAAATTAATTTTGCTGCTTTTTTGGGCTGTGATTTAATAATAATAGTTTAGTCTCATTTAAAACAATGTTTAGCATCTTCTTTAAAACTGTAAGTTCTTTATTAATATTTATTGCTATATAAGAATATTTTACTTGATAAATATGAAGAAAACATAATATTTTTATAGAGCATAACTGGTACTGTTTTTCTTCTAGGTGTGATTTCTTACACAGAATATCTTTTTCTCTTGTGTATTTTAACAAGTAAGTGTACTCATTAAATTTATTTCTGGATGGAATTTTCTAAAATTAGAATTTGTAGGAAACAAATCTTCCTTAGATTCTCTTAGATTCTCTTAAAATACTTTAAGTATGTCTATGCTGTTTTGCAAAATTCATGTCAAAATAGCCACGGAAAATGCTAAGCATGGTATATCAAGGGTCAAAATCATAAATATTATTATGGCCTATAATATATTAGTAAAATGCTCGTAACTTGTAAACTAATATCCTGTATCAATCCCTGTGTTTTAATCTACATGGGAGCCTAAAGGTAGGACATGTAATGATTTGTAAATTTCCTGCTACACTCATTTGAATCACATTTTCTGCAAGACTAGTGTGAAAGAATGTCTATCAGAATGTACATCATACATCCTAAAACAGCTTCATTTTTTTCTTCCTCTTATGTGCAGCAATTTTTATGAAATATATGAAGGGTCTACTAAGGTTTTCAGTTAAATTTCATTGCATTTAATGGTGGAACTATACTCCAGCCACCTGACCTTTCTATTCCTTTATTCCCGTCTCAGGAATTTGTACTTTCTACTCCCTCTATCCTCAGTGCTTTTCTTCAAGATCCTCATGATAATAAACATTATTTAGGTTTCCTTTGGAATGTGAAGACTTTGAGAATTCTTACTTGTATTCTAAAATTCCTTGTATTTCTAAAATAGCTCCCTCTCTCATCTCTTCTTTTTATCCCTTTACAGTGTTTTATTTTCTTCATAGCACTTAAGTTATTTGAAAGTACTTGTTTATTGGTTTACATATTCTTGTCTGTCTTGCTACACTTGAATGCAAGGTCCATGATGGTAAAGATTTTATCTTTTTTGTCCATTTCTGTATTAAGAACAGTGTTCAACACGTGGTAGCCTTTTAAATCATAGTTGGTGAATGAATGAAGACAGGCATGAATGAAAGAATATTGGTGGTGGAATTTCCCATTGTGGGGATTTGTGGAGATATATGGAAACAAGAACTCTCATGATTTGAGTTCAGTCAATAATGAATGCTACCATGAAAATTACAGGAGGGGTGCCAACGAGTATTTCAAAGACTTGTTAAAAAGTTATCTTGTTATCTAGAATAAATTCTGCAGATGCAAAATTTGAAGTTAATATGTACCTAAACCAGTAGAGAAAAACTAAAACAGAACTAGTTAAGAAAGCCATGTGTTGAGATGGGACAAGATATGGTTTAAGGGTGTTGGAAAAAACACATATGGTGGGTTTTGCTTACTATGGGAAGATTAAGACCTTTGGGTGCTGTAAATCTTCTTTTGCAATTCAGGACCCCTCTTAGAAACTTAGGAGTTTGAATTTTAAAATTATGGATATTGTTTAGGTTAGAACCAAGAAAAACGTGAAAAGAGGTCTAGCAGGAGGTAGGTTAGATCACCTATTACCTATCTATAGTTTTCTCCTCTTTACTTTTCATTATTTTAACTTTATTTTCCCTTACAAATAATGCTTGTAAGGATTTCCTTTCTGCATATATTTTTATGATCTTTGTAAGCTTAAAACTTCGTTATCAGAGATGGTGTAGCTTTTTATTTCTTTCTCAAGTGGATAACAATGAAAGTGTAAGTTTAGATTCCTAAAATACATGCAAGAAATGAAGTTGCATAAAAGATGGCTTCCGTTTCCTTTATTTTCAGAGATAGCTATTACCAGTTAAGAAAGTAGGTCTCTGTACTTATCCTTTGCTAGATTCAAAATTTCACAACAGCTAGTGGCAAGTGTAGTTGTGGGAGGTCCCTTTTTAAACTTTTTGCCAGTCATCTCAAAAGAGTAGGTCAAATGTTTTGAAAAATGCATGTACACTGAGCTCTTTTAACGACATGTTCAAGTTTTCTTGTGTCCACATTTTCTTGTTTATCCTTTAGAAGTGAAAAGAGAAAAAGGATTGAACTTCATTGTAGGGTTCATAAAATTAAAGCAGTTCATAGTATGTGAAAGCCTGTCTTTTTCAGAAAATTAATTATTCTTTGTATTTTGGGGACAATTGAGAATTAATTAAGTAAGCCTCTTATTTTATATTTCTGTTTTTGAAGTTTAAACTCTAAAAGTTTCAACCCAAATATGCAATCTCTCATGCTTGACTTTTATTTTCATAGGTCATTTCCATTATAATTTCCCCTAGAATTTGGATTACTTTATTGTGTCATATTTATTTTTGGAAGGAAGATAGTGACATTTTACTATCAGTGCCATGCAGCCAGTATCACACAATATTTTTTAAGTATATTATCAATTCTGTTACTAAATATGCTAATATATGAAGCAGAAATATGTGTATTTTTATACAGCTTTTATTATATTTAATAGCAACATGTTGCTTTAATTTATTGCTTAAAGAAGTTATTTCTGTACTGAATATAAATAACTGTTTACAACTAATATGGACTATGTACTTTAAAGCCATTTCCCATTTCAAAAATACTCTTCTATCTTTTCTGGCAGAGCCTCATGCAGGTTTTAGAATAGCTTTCAACATGTTTGACACTGATGGCAACGAGATGGTGGACAGAAAGGAGTTTTTGGTGGTACGTATATTATTTGCTGAATTTTTATCAATGATTAAATATTAATTCCTTATATTTTTATGTTTTGCATTATTTGAAATAACATCATAGAAGCAAGAGTGAAAATTTTATGCTTTCATGTGTATTCTCATATTCTTTGAGTAATTTTTACATTGTAAAAATGAATTATATTCCATGTATAAAGATGGTTACAATTGTTTACACATTTTCTGGAAGTTTGAAATAAACATTTTCTTTTGAGTGGTTGCCCAGTGAGTGATCAGTCCCCAACTTATCGGCCACCCAGTCACAATTCTGCCGGAGGAACTTCCTTCTCATTACAGGATTTACAATCGTTGTTCTTCCTGTTCTCTTTCATTCACTTCTGCCTTGCATTCCAGTCTTGTCCCCATTTTCCTGTTCTGTTCTCCTGTCTTTGACCAAAGGCTGATCTAAAGAGGAAGGAGAAAGATTGCTTTTTAGATATTTGTCCTTTGATCTTTCTCCCCTGACTAGTCCTGTGTTGTTGCTGGTCTAGCAACTCATTTCATCACCCCCATGCTGCTTCCGAAATTTTTCAATTTCTTTTTACCCATGTATTTCTGCTCCTACTTCTGTGGCAAAATAGCTGTTACATTTTTTTTTCTCCAAAATAGAGATTAATATTAATTTATTCCTTACATTAGCAAAGTCTACTCTTAGCATTTATGTTCAAGTCTATATTTACCTATATTCTCCTAGTAAAAAATTATATATAAATAAATATATATATATATATATATATATATATATAGCCATTTTATTTTCGATTTTTCCTTTGTAACAAGCCATTAAAAATTCCTCAGAAAACCTCTATACAATTTTCTTCAGAGGCTGGAACATGGAAGAGAAACCATGAAATCGTTTTTTCCCATGGTAGGAAAGACAAGAGATAAAAATCCTCATCAAAAGCTAATTAGTAACCATTCGAAAGGAAGCAAGCAGAATAATTGTTGGTATCTATCAAAACACTTAATCTAATGCCCATGTAGTCCTCGCTCCTGAGTACAGTCCCTGAGCCACGCCTTTGGAGCTGGAGCCATGCAAGACCCCTCATTTTCAGGATGGTAGGGCGGTGAGAGTTTTCAATATCATTGCAAAGACAGAGCTATGTTCTTAACATCCTCAAATGTACAGATTTTGTTTTAAATATAGTTTTGTTATGATAGTGTACAACTGTATTTTAGGATTTTCCTATTGGACCTAGTAATCTAAATAATTATCATTAGGCTTTCTGTGGCAACACTGCCAGGTTCCACCCCACTGACTTAAAGATTGACTTTTGGAACTCAGTCCATTGGAAGTTGCCTATATAGTAGGTGTCTTTTGGAATACTATCCATTTGTGGAGATGGGAGTAAAAACATTTATGTAGAACTTCTGTTTCCACTCTAGAATCATTAAAGCTGCCCTCTCTTTAAAGCTGTGGTTTACTCTTTGCAGTGGCTGTACTGCTTCCTCATGTATGATGTTTGTTTGCAAACAGCAAGAGTTCTGAAAGCAGAAGGTGGAGTTTGGCTGTTATTTATAGAGGCTTAAAGTCCGATTCCCGTGCCCATTTACAAAGTGATTATTAACCTTTGCTAAAAAAACAAAACAAAAAACACTTTTCACTAAGAAAAAGTGTGAAAATGAATTTACATGTTAATAAATTATATTTTGTACTGTATTTTTATTTCATATTTTGGAAGGTAATACATTTTATTTGACTTTCAACTATTGCCATACAAAATGAAATGGAGAGTTAACACATTGGATGCGGGAAACGTATTTATACGTTTTACGTTGACTGGTAAACACAATTTAAAATTTAAGAAAAATAATTCAGTATACATTTTATAGTAAATCACAAAAAGTTTCATTGAAAAAAAAGTATGTAAAACTAAAGTTATCGTAATTTTACTGAACGTTGCCATTTGCGCAAAAAATTAGCAAAAAGGGCCCGCATACAATTTAAGATAGCTGTGTACATTTCACAGACAAGAACAGTAACCTTACCAGAAAACTTAGGCTTCCATTTATAAAATAGGATTTTAGAGAAGAAATAATATTTATAATAATAGCTAACACTTAGTGAGAGTTACTGTGTGACAGGCAATGTGCTAAGTAATTACTTAATAATATTTACTCTGCACACCATTCATATAAGACCTGTCAATTATACCTCCATAAAGCCAGAGGAAAAAAATTTCCCATAAGGTAAGGCATTATCTCTATGTTTCTGATGTGGAAAACAAGCCTTAAATAATGAGAGTAACTTTTTCAAGGATTATACTTGCAGAGCCCATGCTCCCATCACAATGCTCAGTTACCTGAAAAAACCTCAGAGGTCATCTAGTCCATCTTAATTTGACATATGAGCAAATTGGAGCCCTGCGAGGGTTGAGTGGCTTGTCCACCACCTTAGAATTGGTGTGTGACAGAAGGTGGGCTCAAAACCAGAGATCCTGAGTTCTACTCCAATGTTCTTTATACCCCAGTGGGCGTCCTCTCTTTTTATGTTTGTGCCATAAATTCCATGTCTTTGTGCCTTAGAGATAAAATAAAACTATAATTTTGTACATTTTACTACCTGTGGGTTGCTGGTACCAAAGGTTGTATTTTCTTTGGTATCAGCAACCCACAGATAAGTAGGTAGGTACCCAGAAACTCTTGTTTGATACTAATTGGTTTTCTTTTCAGCTTCAAGAGATATTCAGGAAAAAAAATGAAAAGAGAGAAACTAAAGGAGATGAAGAAAAGCGTGCAATGCTGGTAAGAATAATTTATAGTAGTTTCAGGGGGTTTTCTAGATAATTACTTATGTGGAAAATAATAAAGTCTATAACTTCGGGGCTGTTCCTTTCTTGAAAACTTTTTAAAGTTCTTATATAGAAAAATTACTGCAGTATTATATGTATTGATACCAATATTTATATCAAATGTTGTTATTACATATCTGTAGCCATAATTACATTCATTAAATAACCTATTGTGGTATTCCATGAGATTCATTAACAGGTTAATATAAATCATTATGCATATACAATTTAAAGGAGAATTGCAAAGATTTCATTACCCACATAGAATTTAATGGTACTATAACAATATGAATGTTGAAGTAAAAACAAGGAAATAATATGTTATTTTGCATTCTTATAGTATATATTATAGGTTTTTCTTCTGGGATGATGTTTTCATCTTACTCCGAAGGTAGAGAGAGTTAAGCAACATTTCACTTCATTTTCCTACCAGTTTTCTTTTGCTTGCCCCAAGTATTTCAACCTGACAACATCCCAGGTCCGCATAATAAAAAAATAACAGGTACTGCGTCCTTATTACCAGGCACCATACTAGATGCTTTGCCTGCATTTTCTCATTTAATCTACCCAACAATTCTCTTATAGATGTACTTATAGATGTGGAAACTGATTGTTGAAAAGATTAAATATCTTGTCCAAAATTACATAGCTATTAAATGACAATTCCAAGATTTGAACCCATGGCTGACCAGCTCCAAAATCTAAACTTTTACCCACTGTAGCATATTTCTTCATCTAGTACTTAGATAGCAGAAATATAGTGAATTTTGTTGGCATGTAAATGGTAATTGTTTCATTTGCAAATTAGTGATTTGCATTGGTCTACCAGGAATTCAAATAATTAACATACATAATTTAATTAGTGCTCCTGAAATCTCATTTACCTAATTTAGCTATCAGGCTATTTCTTAAAACAGCCTTAGCATTCTATGATAATATAGCTCTCTACAAATGTTTAATTAGTGGTAACTTATTGTTAATAGCCATCATTTTTTAAATAATGCAGATATGAACTGATGAGATTTTTGAGTTTTGAAGCTATTAAAATTTAGTTGAGAGTGAAAATATATGGATTATATTAGAGAGATAGCATAGCACAGGGTTTGAATATCAGCTCTGTCCTTAATACCTGGGTAACCTTGAATAAGGTCCTTAACATCCCTGTGGCTCAGTTTCTTCATTTTTACAAAGGGGACAAGAGGAGTAATGGTCACATGTGATTCTTACGGGGTTTAAATGAGCTAAAACATGTTAGCCACTTAACAGTATGTAAAATAAACACTCAACAAGGAATTAGTAGAACCATATAGTTACTTAAACCTGAATATTTACATACCCAAATAAAAATTAAATCAAAACCAAATCTAAAAATATTTACATGCCAAATAAGATTAACTGTATTTCAAAAGGAGAGAGGATAATGAACATAACATTCTTGAGACACATTATTTGCTAAGCTCTGTGCTTATAGCTGTTATAAATTTTACTTCCATTTAGTCCTCATTATGTGTCTCCCAGGTAAGTACCATACCTGTTTTACAGATGAGAAAACAATCTTAGAGGGATTCATTAACTTGCCTAAGGTCATGGCAATATAAGAGCAGAACAAGATTCCATCACAGGTCTCTCATACCATTTCTACTGCCATGATGCTACATTTAGATTTCCCCCTGTCGCATATAGAATTGCCGAAGCATCCTCTCTAATAAAGAGGTAATATGCAAATTGACTATCACTCCAACACACAAGATGGCCGCCACAAGATGGCCTGCAGGCGGAGGGTAGTTGTGGGCAATCAGGCCAGCAGGGGAAGACAGTTGCGGGGGACCCAGGCCTGCAGGGGAGGTCAGTTGGGAGGGACAAGGCTTGCAGGGGAGGGCTGTTGGGGGGAACCAGGCTTGCAGAGGAGGGCAGTTAGGGGTGACCAAGCCGGCAGAGGAGGGCAGTTAGGGGTGACCAAGCCAGCAGAGGAGGGCAGTTAGGGGGGACCAGGCCTACAGGGGAGGGCAGTTAGGCGGGACCAGGCCAGCAGGGTAGAGCAGTTGGGAGCAACCAGGCCTGTAGGGGAGGGCAGTTGGGGGTGACCAGGCCTGCAGGGGAGGACAGTTCGGGGGGACCAGGCCGGCAGGGGAGGACAGTTGGGGGCAACCAGGCTGACAGGGGAGGGTAGTTGGGGGGGACCAGGCTACAGGGGAGGGCCATTGTGGGTGACCAGGCCTGCAGGGGAGGGCAGTTGAGGGGGACCAGGCCTTCAGGGAAGGGCAGTTGGGGCAATTGGGCCAGCAGGGGAGGAGTTAGGCATCAGTCAGGCTGGCAGAGGAGTGGTTAGGGCAGCAGTTCTCAACTTGTGGGTTGCGACCCCTTTGGCAGCCAAACGACCCTTTCACAGGGGTCGCCTAAGACCATCCTGCATATCAGATATTTACATTACGATTCATAACAGTAGCAACATTACAGTTATGAAGTAGCAACGAAAATAATTTTATGGTTGGGTCACAACATGAGGAACTGTATTTAAAGGGCCAGAAGGTTGAGAACCACTGGGTTAGGGGGTGATCAGCCTGGCAGGTAGAAGCGGTTAGGGGCAATCAGGCAGGCAGGCAGGCAAGCAGTTAGGAGCCAGCAGTCCCGGATTATGAGAGGGATCCTAGATTGGAGAGGGTGCAGGCTGGGCTGAGGGACACATACACCACCCCCTGTGCACAAATTTCGTGCACCCGGCCTCTAGTCTATCTAATAATAGGATAATATGCAAATTGGTTGGGACACTGACACTTAATGACCAATCAGCAGGCTGCATCCCCCCCCCCCCCCTGTGCCGGCCCAGAGACATGAGGCTCAAATCCCCGCCCCCGGCAACAGGCCCGGGATGTGAGGCTCGCATCCTTTCCCGTGTGCTGGCCCGGAGACATGAGGCTTGCATCCCCGCCCCGGCAACAGGCCCGGGATGTGAGGCTCGCATCCTTTCCCGTGTGCTGGCCCGGAGACATGAGGCTTGTGTCCCCGACCCTGGCAACAGACCCTGGGACGTGAGGCTCACGTCCATGCCCCCTGCGCCGGCCCGGGGGTCCACAGGCACACGGAGGTCCGCAGGCCTCCACCACGGCCCATCCCAGGGTTGGGGCCACGGCGGGGCCTCTGTGCACCTGTGCCAGGGGTCCGCAAGCCTCCGCTGGCTTTGGCCTACCTCTTTGGGGCAATCCATTGAGGAGCCCCAGATGGGTGGGCAGAACCTACCTCTTTGGGGCGATGGATCATGGGGTTCCCGCACTGTGACAGGGCACAGGCCAGGCTGGGGGAACCCGCCCCCCCCCCCCAGACCCTGAGTGCATGAATTTCATGCACTGGGCCACTGGTGTCTAAATAAAATCACATATTTGGGAGGAACAAGTTTTACTCAAAGCAATAGCTCCATCAGAAAGTTACAATTGAAATGGTTGAAATGAGCACATTATAAATAATGTTTAATTATATGAGATTTTTTTAAACTTTGCTTCTCATCTTTAACATTTATCCCACTTGTGTGTATGCACTGTATATAGAATGTAGCATAATGATTTGCCCTTCCTAATTGATTATTTTGTCATCTTTTTCTTTTTTTCTTTTGCTATACTTGGGTTCATTCTGAAATGTGACACTTCATTTGGCCCTTTGCGCTCTATGTCAGCGTCTTCAACTATATGGATACCATTCACCTACTAATAGTGTATGTACAATACTTTAAATATTCTTTATATGAATATCCCTCCCTGTTATACTTGATCATGTTATTTTGTTATCTAAAACTATATCTGCTACTGAAATGTTTAGGAATTTATTGAATGTGATAAGATACAACCAAGCCAAAATTTTTTTTTATTTCCTCCCTATATCTATGAGAAGACTAAAATTTACAGAGTAATTGTATAACTTTAACTTTAGGTTGAAATAAAGAAAAGATGAGTGAACAACAACCAGCAACTCTGGTAAACAATTGAAATTTTAAAATTTTCAGCAGTTTTTGAAGAGTTAAATACAAATTATGGAGCAGATTTTCAGACTATGCTCCTGCAAACACAGGCATTTTAAGAATTAGGTCTACGTATCTGACATACATTATTTTCTCAATTCTAATACAGAAGTATCTTAATGGATAGACTTTTCTTAGTTTTCAGTATTTCTCCCAATTCTTTTTCTAAAACCTTTGATGCCTGCCTATCACCTATGTTCTATACAAAAGTCTGGTATAAGATGACATTAGATATGTTTAATCTATCAATGTATCATGTTATTTCTCAAAGAGGATTATGATTTTCAGACTCTTCTTTTCCTGATGAAGTTAAGAGTTCTGTAAATGATCTTCTAATATACTCTTCTTATGCTAAGCTTTCTTCTTTGCTTTCTCCTGGAAAGTTGAGCTTGTTGGTTAGCCCAGCTACTAAACAACTAAGAGTAGGCCATGCCCCTTTTAAATGTAAACATGCAGGATTCATTTAATTTCCCCAAGGTTAGAAAGATCCCTCAAATTACATAAGTTCCACCTGAGAGTAGGCCTTTGAATTCAGGGTGACGGACTCAGTATAATGCAGGTCAGAGAGTTCAGTTATAGTGTGCAACTCTGTAAGCAACTGTGCTGCCTCCTGTGTTGGACAATCAAAAGTTCAAGGCACAAAACCTGACTCTGTTCTAGATTTGAACATATGCTGGAGGCCGATTCGGCATAACATAAACCTCAGATACCTTGCCAAAGTCGCAAGGAGTGGACCTAGAATGGGTTGGCAAACAAGCCAAGTCCATGGGACCCTTAGGACGGACTTGTTATTTTGATTCTTTACAAGATACTTAAATTTTTTTCTACAAAATTCATGACTGTTTGTCTTTAAATATGGTCTATCATTTTCTTAAAATTTTGAAAAGATTCCTCTATTAATCATTTCAAAAATTGGTAAGAATATGAAAGATAAATATCTTATAGTTTATAATACCATATGTCTTGTGAAACTTAATAAATGTTAATACTTATGACTTTATTATTTATTTTTCTAATCTGTCATTGCATGAGCCATTTTCCAACTATGGCAATTTATAGTTTTCCTTTAAATTCATGATAATGTTTTTTTAAAAAATGCAAGCAAACAAGGAAAATTTATTTAAAATTAGAAAAAATTCAGATAGCCTAAAAGTTTATATGAAATATGATTGGTGTATGTATTGCGCAAATATATTATTATAATATTATGAATTAACTGGTAATTATCTGCTAGTTTCCAGAGCTGTAGATGAACTGAAATGATCAAGTATATAATTTGAGTACAGTTCATGGAGCTGAATATAACATAAGATTCTACCCTTAGGAAGAAGTTCCTCAGTAAAGGCAGCCCTCCTGACTTTACTATAGAGACAGAGATTCTGTGTCCTCTGTCGGACCCTGTCCCAGAACTTAACTGCTCCTGCAGTAGGTTCTACCTGTATTCTGTCAAGTTCTTGTTTGCTATGTTTCTTGCTTCAGTATTCATAAGGATCATTACCTTATACCTTTCTGTTCCAAACAACCCTGATTCTTTTCATATTTCTGATATAGCCAACTCTTGATTATCTTACCATTGTAATGAAAAGATATATTAAAAATTCAAAAGAATAAATAATGCAAAAGTGAAGTATATTTGATTTTGGTATGCCTTATGTGACTTTTTTAAGTACTTAAAGATTATCTTAATTACCCTATATCCATTGTAGTAAAAAAATGTACTAGCTTTTATACAATTTTTTGACACATGTTGAGATGTGTTTTATGGACTAAAACAATGTTAATATTTACAAATGATCTGTGTTTGAAAAAAATGTGTATGTTCTAATTTGGGGTATAGGGTTATATTTTTAAGAGAGATAATATATCAAAACATATTAGAACAAACTCTTTAATTAAATGTTTTAAATCTGTTATTTCTAATGTTTTTGTCTGTTTAATCTTTTAGTTAGTATGTTAAATTATATGTTACAATGATAGACTTGTCAATTTCTACTTATAATTATGTTATTTTTTATTTTATATACTTTTGAAACATTGTTATTGCCTATTTGAGAATATAAATTACTTATGTCTTTTTAATGAATTGACTCTTCTATAATATACTAGCCCTAGATATCTAGAAATGTTTTGTCTTAAAATCTATTTTATTGTTAAAATAAATATACCACCTTTATTTTTATTAATATTTTGTTATTTTTGTATTTTGTGGGTTTTTTTATTTTCTATTTTTCCCTCTAATGATGATAAAGCTTTTCCTGATTTTTAAAATATATTTTTAGTTCAGAAATTTACTGTAAATAAAATAAATAAAAATAAAAGTTTGACCACAATATAGCTAAAAAATAAACTTGCCATGCCCCAAAAGCTCCTTATATTGTCTCTCTAATGATAACTCTTTCCTCTTCTCCAAAAGATAACTACAGAAATGTCTTTTATGTAAACCACTTCTTTGGCTTTGCAGTTTTACCACCTACTTATGTATGCATCATAAATCATATAATTTAGTTTTACCCATTTTAGAACTCATATAAATGGGATCATATATATGAGTTTTTCATGTTTCTTCTTTGACTCAACATCATGATTGTCCATTTCATTTTCATTGTTGTATCTAGGTCTAGCTCATTCACTGTTATTGCTGTAAGCAGCAGTTTTCAAACATTTTGGTCTCAGAACCCCTTTACATTGTTGAAAATTGTTGAGGACCCTAAAGAGCTTGTGTTTGTATTGGTTATATCTATCTATATTTACTAGTATTTACCATATTAGAAGTTACAACTGAGAAATTTAAAAATATTTATTATCCTTTTAAAATAAAAGCTCACATGTTAACGAACATTTTAATGAAAAATAACTCCAAAAATGTAGTGAGGATAGTGGCATTTTACATTCTTTGCAAATCTATTTAATATCTGGCTTCATAGAAGACAGCTGGTTTCTCATAGATGCTTCTGCAAGTCAAGCTGTTGCAGTTTGTTATTTTGGCAACAAATACTCTCAATTGCTTCCCTTGGAGTGACAGGCTCACTTGGTTCACTTAAAAAAAAATGTCTGCCAGATACCAAAGTCTAAACAACCACAGTTTGTCTGTCAGTTATTCTTTCAAGTAAAAATGATTGTTCATGAAAAAAAAGTGGCTACTTTCCTTTCCAACACAAACCGTCACACAGATGTTTTTTTTCTGAAGACAGTCATATGACTTTAGTAGGCAGGAGAAGTGCTTTATGCATGCTTCCAGTCTCACCACACCAAATATTGAAAAGATGTATGCTCAAAGGTCAGTTTAACAAAATTGTAAGTTTATTCTTCAGCAAGTACATTCTTTTTCTTTCTTTTGAAATTAAAACTTTTTAATTTAAATTCTTTATTGTTTAAAGTATTACATAAGTCTCCTTTTCCCCCCATTGACCTCATCCCAGCCACTCCCACCCCCCAGCTCATGCCCTCACCACCCCCCACTCTCCGTGTCCATTGGTTAGGCTTATATGCATGCATACAAGTCCTTTGGTTGATCTCTCCCCCTTATTCCCTACCTTCCCTCTGAGGTTTGAGCATCTGATTGATGCTTCTCTGTCTCTGGATCTGTTTTTGTTCATCAGTTTTGTTCATCAGTTTCTCTGACTGACTAATTTCACTTAGCATAATGCTCTCCAGCTCCATCCATGCTGTTGCAAATGGTAGGAGTTCCTTCCTTTTTAACCACCTTCACCCACTGCCCATTTCTTCCCCACCTCAGGCAACCACTCATCTGTTATGTTTCTATGATTTCGGGGTGGTTTTTTTCTGATTTCTAATTGAGGTATGATTGACATATAACATATTGGTTTCAGGTATACAACATACTGATTCAATATATGTATATATTTTGAAAGATAATTTTACTAGGTATATTGTTATAGGTTGACACTTATTCTCAGCAAATTATGATATCATTCCAGTCTTCTGGCTTCTATTATTGACATTGAAAAGTCAGTTCTAAGTCTAATTATTATTCTTTTGTAGATAATCTGTTTTCTTTCTTGCTACTTTTAAGATTTTTTTTGCCTTTGGTATTCTACAATTCTATAACATCCTTTTTACTATTACCTGTTATGAAATTTATTGAACCTCTCAAATATGAAGATTGTTTACTTTTATTCTTTAATATTCACTGAACTATCTGTCTTTTACATCTTTTAATAAAGGCGTAGACCTACCTTACACTCTGGTAAGGAGGCCTAAAGCTCACAGAGTCATCAGAAACACTAAGACTGAAGAAATTCTTTGCCAGTTTTTCTACTATTTACATATCAAAACATTATAATACCTGTTTTATAATCACAGCACACAGTTATATTTGGGTATATTCCCCTATCAGTCTTTCGTTAGCCTGCATGTGTATGTTCTGATTTTGTGTTTGCTTTGCATTTCTTGCTATTAAAATCTATTCTAATTTTTATGGCTACCTTAGGTTTATTTTAAATATTCTATTATATTTTTCTGGTATTAAAGATTTCTACTAGTTTTGCAGGTTCTGAAAATTTACTCTTAATTACATCATCCAAGCCATTAATGAAATAATAAAATATTGGCTCCTGAACAGACACACATATAGGAATCTATGACTGTGCCAGGAAAACCACTGATATATTAGCCATATTTCCCTGCAATTGCATACCATATATTTATTTAACACAAGGCATGACAGTAGTTGCTGTGAGAACATTGCCCCTTCCCTCAGAAACTTTATAATTTAAAAGACTCTTTAATGCAGCCATTCCGTTGTATATTCTAGCAAAATTTAACCTGAAGCTAAATAAAAAGTGGGGAAGCTTTCTGCAGGAGGTGACTATTAAGCTGTTATGTTCTAAATAAGACTTTTATTTTGTTTTAAAAAGTGATATATATTATTTTCGCTCTAACCAGTTTGGCTCAGTGGATGGAGCTTTGGCCTGTGAACTGAAGGGTCCCAGGTTCGAGTCCAGTCAAGGGCATGCACCTTGATAGATTTAATCACCCTTTTCTTTATCATATATTAACCTTCTGAGTTACAATTTAAAAGTATATCCATGTTCAAAATGTTTAGATAATATTTGCACACTATTTAATCTGGCTACCATTTATTGAGGTTCTACCATACCTATATAAAAGAAAGTGAACTGTATTAGTTCTATATTCAGCTCATTTTACTTATTTAGCTTATAATTTTAGTTAAAGCTTGTTTAGTTACTAAAGGGGGTGATGAGCAAAATGTCATATGGCTAAACTTACACTTATGGTAATAAATATGCCCATGTTATATACGTGACTCCTGCTGAATAATACTATACTATTAACATATTTAAAGATTTTATTCAAATATGGGCAATAGGCAGTGCTTTCAAGTTAATAATGAATTGAAAATTGGATATTTGAAATAATTCTCAGATGCGTTATAATTTTATTAGTGGCATCAGACTTTTAAAAATTAACACACACACATAAATAAAAGTGCTCTTATCATCAGCTGCTACTCCTAAGTGTGCTGTGCTACATTTTCTTCCCACAATAATCAAAGAATCCCAAGCCCGAGAACCTGGGAAGCCTTCCCTGGTAAATCTGGACAGAAACTTACATTTAATTATTTTTGAGTCTTTATAAACTCTTACGCTTGTAGTTCTGCATTTTCATATGAAGATTAGACTACACTTCTTAGTCTAGATATCCTCTTCTTCAGACGAGCCAATACTGAGGTAGAAACTAGTGTTCTCTCCTTATGGTAAATAGCAAGTGCCTTATATGTAGTATATATCGTAGATATATGTAGTATATATCTACAGACACACCTATCAAATCCCTGAAGAGCTTTGAGTAAACTGGCTTATTTCTTTTTGACAAATTTCAGATTAGTTTAAATTTTGTTTCTCTAAAGTGTAGATACGGTCATTTTGATTCTTTGATGCACTAACACAATGTATGCCAGCCAACAATAATTTTTTTAAATTAATCATGGTTTTTATTGGTTGCTACAAAATTCCCCAGATCTACAAATGAATTGACTTCACATCAGGCATGAATAAAATTTTTATTTCACACTTTCTTAGAAGTTACACATGTTTCAGTAGAAGGGCATGGGGGAGGGGTGAAGAATATGATTCTTTTTGACAAAGCCACATTGTACTTAGAAAGAGTGGTTATATACCATTACACCTTTGAAAATACCCAGGGTTTACCGGCAATGTAATATAATACTGTTGTGTGCAGCAGAAAACAAAAGAAGGTAAGCTAATGTGTTTTCTTTTCAAGGTTGGGTGAAAAGATTTAAAGTGTATAAATTGTCATTCTTTGTGACTACCTTTTAGATTTCAGTTGTGCTTCTTAAAACTTCTACAGGTACTTAAACCAGATGCTGAGGAACTTGTCTCCAGAAGCTACTGGGATACATTGAGACGTAATACAAGCCAAGCACTGTTTTCAGACCTCGCAGAGGTATAATTAAACCTCGACCAGGTCGTCGTATTATTTGCCATTTTGTTAATCTCGGTCTTGTTTTATTTTAGAGTCATAATGATGGAGCCAAAGATATATTTTATATTTTTCCTTTCCTCCAGTAAAGCAGTAATTTCTATGTGTAAGTGGTGTATTTGAGTATGTCAGCTATGCTTGGCAGAGACTGCAAGGTTACCTGTATCTATGTTAAATCAACTTGCTTGTTGTAGAAAACATGACTTTCCAACTTAATTAAAAGGAAGTATTGTTATTTTTAACTTAAGAAAATTTGAAAATGCTGTTTCATAGTTTCACAGATTCTTCTAACCTTATAACTTGCAATATTTCATGAAATGATGAAACTTAACTTTGGTAAAAGATAGCTAATTGCTAGAGTTACGGAAGATTTAAACAATTAAGTTTCCTAATATCAATAGAGAGTAGCTTAGTGTGGAGCACGTGTGGTAGGAGCAGTCAAGGAAAGGAGAACATTTCCTCTTGACATTGTTTAGTGCGTGAAAAATAAAAAGCACACCAACTGTTATTCATGCTAGTTTTGAATTTTATAGAGACACACACCTTATTGCTCCCACCACCCCGCTCTGATTATGCCACTCTTATAGGGATTTGTCATTTTAAAAGATGGGCTGTGTCTTGTAGATTAAACACTAATTTATGTTTTTTAAATAATCTTTTTCTTGTTGACTTGAGAGACAGAAACATCAGTTTGTTGTTCCACTTATTTATGCATTTATTGGTTCATACATGTTTGTGCCCTGATCAGTGATCGAACCTACAACCTTGGTTCGATCAGGACGTTGCTCTAACCAACTGAGCTACCTGGCCAGGAGTTATTTTATGGTTTCTATTGAGATTTTTTTAAGAACTTTTTTAGAGATGGCTATCATCTTACCACAAAGGACTTTTCAGTAAATACTAACAGATATATCTCTCATTAGCTTTTTCTTTGTAAAGTTGATTTCTCATTTCTTTTTCTAAAGTTTGACTTTTAAAAGTTACACCTAAAAATATCTAGAGAAGTAAACTGGATTAGGTGTAATTTCTGTTATTTATATATACAGTGTTACTTTAGACTAGGGCAAACACTTAGAAATGTTGGTTTTTTGTCAGTTGTGTTCAATTTTAAAGTCCCAAAAGAAATAAAGCTTTTCCCCTATCTCTAAACTGTTTGATATATCAATATGGTATAATTATGGTGAGCAATTACTCTTTTAAATTACCTTTTAAATTTGAACTATTTTTAGGCATGAAGTGGTAATAGACGTTCCACTTATAGATAATTTAGAGGTACTTAGTTCTAATCATCTGTGCAGACACACATTGGAAGTGCTTAATTCTGTGATCATTTGTGCAGGCACAAAGCGAAGGCACTACTGTGAGCCTTTACTTTCCAGAGCCTACGAGTAAGAGCCACTTGGGACCCCAGCCCTTTGAGCCTCTATGAGCCACTGTGGCCTCGCTTCTAGTCAAGTCTAGTCAAGTCACTGTTGTCCCTCCGAGTTCTAGTCTGTCCACCTCTCAGCCTCCAGCCTATCTTTAATCTCATTAACTCTTTTAGAAAATCTCATTTCGACACAATCTGTGCAGTAGATGTTGAATTTAATTTATATCCTGGAGGTTTAGTATCAGAAGACCAGGCAACTCTTACATACACTCCAAGATTGTAAGTGATTATAGGTTCTTTTGAAGGTGTTTATCACTCTGGCAGAGGTGTGCTGGAGCTGGTTTTTGGCTTCCCACAGCTAGTTCTGCACAGCTCCTCCTAACTCATCATCCTGTTAAATCTCGTTGGTACCTTGAAAATGCCCATGATGGGAGTATTAATACCATAGAAATGGGCAAACACCATCCATTGGGCTTTTTGTCCAGGAGCACCAGTTTACGAGCACACTTGGCTGTAGCCAATCCACACTATAATCAGCTTATGCTAAATGAATGAATGAATTTATTCAAGCATCATGAAAGTAAATCTTATGGAGAAGAGAAAGTAGAAAAGAAAACAAAACAAGCTATATTCCAAAGGAAAATAATTATTTGGGGATTGTCTGTTACCACCTTCCCACATTAGAGAGGATAACAGAATTAACTATGTTAAGTTACAACTCATTCTAATTCCTTATAGGTTACTACTGATGCTGGTGTAACACTGAATTGTTTATAATATCAGTATTTCAGGATTCAAATTGGTTCAGAAAGAAAGCTTAGAAATCTATTTGTATTTCTTTGTTTCTTGTATATTTAAAATGTAAATCTTGAGATAAGCATTTTTCTTCAAATATTGTAGGTAAATTTAAGATTAGCCTCTCATGTTCTTATGCCAGAGCTGTTTCTAACAATAGATGATTTTCAATTATAGTAAAACCATATTATAATGAAAATTTAATATGCCACAGCTAACACTACTTTCTAACCAAAATAATAGATAATACATTTACGTAAGCCTCTCAAACAACTGTTGAGTACAGTTTAAATACCAAATTATAAAAACTATTTTGAGTTTTATAGATGAAATTAAAAAATTTTTGTTTGCTTTAAACTTTACTCATCCTTACTAAATTTCAATAGGTTATTCAGAACCTCTGCCAACAATCCCTCCAGAGCTTGATAAGATTATCACATTGGAATCAGTAAAAATATGTTGAAACGATGTCCTTAAAACTCTTTATTTTAATAGTTTGATATTTTTATTTCATGCAAATTTACTAATTTATTTCATTTTTTATGAAACCATTTAAAGTAAGTTTTCATCAAAACAAAGTTAGATAATGGCCTTTCATGTAAATGACCCCTGGGGTTCTTTTGTGGCAGTTTCTTGCTTTCTTATGAAAACACCTGAATTCATTTTAGTTTAACAATGAGCACAAGAATCAAAGGGATGAAGTCTCTATTTTTGTCCCAGCCCTCCTGTGATGCAAGTTATATAACATTGTTAGGATACCAAGGACTCTGGTGTAGTTTTCAGTGACTCCCAACAGTACTCCGTTTCATTGAAGGGGGCCAGTTTTCACCATTCCCATTTTCTAATTTTTCTCTCTAATGTCAAACTTTTACTTATGCCTCTGTGGCTCTGGATTATCTGGATAAGTGCAACCTAAGTCTAATAAGATTTTCATGATGAAAGACTGTAAATGAAGATCCGCTGTGCTCTGTGGGCATGAGAAAAACTGGCTGAATGAGGTCATTATTTAAACCTGTGTAAAACAAAGCCATCTTATTCCTGTGTGTTAGGTCTCTAGGTAAAGGACAGCACGGCACTACAGAAAGCATTCCATAATGTGTTATCTGAGTTCACTAACTTTGGGTCTTTCTGTAACCTCTCATTTTAAGGCATCTTTTTCTCAGATCTATATAATATTATATGTGTAGTTTCAATAACAAGTTAAAGTGTACCACGTAATAATCTTTTTTTTTTTACATTAAGCGCAACATTATTATCTTTTCTATCTAAACTTCTTAAAATACATGGATTTGGCCAAAATAATAATAGCTAACACTTATTGGGCCTTTACAATATGCCAGTTAAAGTGCTAAATGATTTACATGTGTTATCTAATGCAATAATTCTTTATAGTAGAGTGGAGGCCCAGTGCACGAAATCCATGCACTGGTAGGGTCCCTAGTGGCTGCCGGCCAGGGCCTCCCTCCCTTCCCCCAGCCACCCCCTGGTCGAACTCCCAGACGAACTCCCGGTCAAGGGGACAATTTGCATACTACGCTTTTATCATGTAGGATACTTTGTTATTCCTGAGGGTAATATCCTCAGAGAGACTGACTTCACCACAGTCACTTAAACTAATAAAGAAAAAACTCAGGACTCAAAGCCAGACTCTGACTCCTGCGCTTCATCGTATTTGCTCACCACACTACTGCTTATTTGTGAAGTAAACAGCTTTCTAAAACACCAACCCTCCTCCTCTGACCTATTTTGTCCTTCCCACATTCCGTTCTTTTAGCTGCTAGATGGCTACCCCAGTTCCTCATGCTGACTTCTAATTGGCTAGGTCCTTCACTCTTATGCTCCTTTTAGGCATGCCTTCTCAAATATTTCCTTCTCCTAATTTAAGCTGTTCTGTGGGTAATAAACTGATTAGACTTGATTGTATACAATCACAAAAAAATGTCTATAATAAACATGAGCTATCTCTCCTGCCACGCCCCTCAAGGTCTTATGCTTTTTTTCAAAGCATCTTACGGCTGCCAATCAGAATCTTTGTATATTTCTTTTAAACACATATTCTAATTTTATCCTCAGAATTGTTATTATAGATAGGGTTATTCCCATTTCACAGAAAAGGTAGTTGAAAGTCAGAAAGTCAGTGAACCCAGGTCATCTGATGTTAAATCCTGCCGTTTCCATTCCAGCAGTCTGCGTTCTCAACCTGTAGCTACTGGTGAAATAGTAGTCCCTTTTGAGCAGTACTCAAAATTACACTAATCTGCCATATATGGAGCCCTGAAAAGCTGGCATCACTAATCCTATAGAATAAAGAGGTAATATGCAAATCAACCCTCATGCCCTCACAAGATGGCTTCCTATGACCAGGCTGGCAGGGGGGTTAGTGAGGGACGACCAAACGACTGAACAGCAGGCTGCGTGGGGCGACCAGACCAGCAGGAGGGCCGTGAGGGGCAACCAGGCTGGCAGAGGGGGAGCAGCTGGGGGCACCCAGGTCAGCAGGGGGAGCAGTTGGGGGCAACCAGGCAGGCAGGCAGGTGAGCGATTAGGAGCCAGTGGTCTAGGATTGTGAAAGGGATGTTCAGGATCGGGCCTAAACCAGCAGTTGGATATCCCCCAAGGGGTCTCGGATTGGAGAGGGTGCAGGCTGGGCTGAGGGGACCCCCCCCCCATGCATGAATTTCGTGCACCAGGCCTCTAGTATGGTATATTTAAAAGGTGGTATGTGACACCTGTTTTTCTGGCTGTGTTATTTTCCCTCTAGCAATCAGATCTTCAGAGAAGTTGGTTATACTGTAGGGAACTTCTTGATTATTCCAACTCCTGAGAATACTTGGGACTACTTCTCAGCAAACTAAGCTGAGAAATAGTAGAGATCTTCTATACCAATTAATAAGGAGTTATATGCTAGAGACCATTTTAAAAATTCAAACTAAATTACTTAAATACAAATAGATTAGATTACTGAGAATGTCAACAATTTTAGATCATATAAAGCTGAAGATATCCTACATGTTGGAGTTTTTAGAGAGAGAGGAGTAATCAGTATAGCAGAGAAATCACTTTAGAAAAGGTGTCATGGATTCAAAGCGGACATGCTGGAGGGAAGAGTATAACCCCATACTAGTCTTTAGAAAAGAATAATATTTGGTTTAGGGAGAAATGAAATAAAGATTCTATACTAGTAAATGTTATGTAGGATAAAATAGCTATCTTCATGAAAGAGGGCTATAAAGAATCAAAGAATTACCAAAATTTAGAGTGTGGAAGAGGAGAAAAGGACTGATCCTTTGTAAAAGAATATATGCTTTCTATTTCCTATGTGTGTGTTTTTTATGGAGTACCTATTGTCAGGGTTCTGGCCGAGAAGTAATACATTTCAAATATGTCCCTTTTAATAGAGAAAATGGTAGTTATTATATAACTCTTAATTTGCAGTATAATATATGGGAAAGGTACAGTTATGTGAAATTTATCATTTTTTACCTGAATTTCTAAGCTAGGTATGAGTTAATGGCCAAATGAAGAAGGAAGGGAAGAAAAAGAAAGGACTGGAACAGAAGTGGAAGGTGGGAGGAATGGGGGGATGGTGAGGGGGAAGCAGGGGAAAGAAAGGAAAAACCTATAAAGCTACATAAAAGGAAATAATGAAGATTTTCCACAAGCCATTGAACTTTATAAGGACTATAATTAAGCTATTTTAAGAATACACTTGTTGGAACTTGATTTATCAAGTTGAATGGGAAAGGAAATACCCTCTGGAATTTTTCAAAAAATGTAAGACTTTTCTTTGAAAAAACTGTAAATGATGTAAATTTCAAAGTATTACTACTGTAGTTTCTATTTTAAATTATAGTATCTTCTACCTAAATTACCATAAATATGGAATACAGTAAAAAAGTATTATAGTTTAAGTTCTTTTGTAAAGCTTGAGACCATTTCTTTGTCAGCCCCATATGTTCTATACATCTGAAGACTTTATCTATTTTGAACATCCTAAAAAAAAGGATTTTCATGTTGATTAAGAAAATTCCACTATAAATTACTTAAGTACAAATAAAATATTTAGGTGATTACTAAAAGAGTTCAACTATTTTAAATAATTTAAAATATAGGTACCTTTTTTGCATAATTTGAGGTAGGAAACTTCCTAAAATATATAATCATATCTTTAAAAATTTTTTAGGATAAAGATAGGTTTTGTTCATATTTCTATTTTCTAATTTTGAACTTCATTTTAACTGTAATGGCATTTATTAATACAGCCTTACACTTTTCATTCTAATGTTAATATATTTATATCCTGGATATTTATATGTTGATAAAATTCTTTGAGAGATATTGGGTATCTTCTGTTTGCTCATTGCAGCTAACCTTTCAATTGTGATTTTTTTTAAGCGTGCTGATGACATTATGAGTTTGGTAACAGATACCACACTTCTTGTACACTTTTTTGGAAAGAAAGGAAAAGCTGAGCTCAACTTTGAAGATTTTTATAGGTGAGCTTAATTTTTATATTTATGTTGAAAAAAAATGTTAACATGCTAAAGTCAGAAACACCTAGTGCAGTGATACCTTTTCTCTGCTTTCATCTTAACTTGAGGTATTATGTCTAACAAATATCCACTTCTGTGAGTACCTTTATACCAGTGGTTTTATTGATAAGAATAATAGGAAATTACTGAATGATAAAAAAAAATGTGTGGATATCTGGATTGTTATTTCCTGTACATTCAGAAGTACCGCAGTCAACACTACACATCACACATTAACTCCTTTAAGTCTCATCACTGCCCTGCAAGGTTTTGTGTGATCCCCATTTTACTGACGAGGAAGCCAAAGCCCTGAGAGGCTGAGTGCCATCTGTTCCCATCAACACTCTTCATTTACCTCATTCATTCTTTATCCCTTCTTGTCATAGATTCATGGATAACCTCCAAACAGAAGTTTTAGAAATAGAATTCCTTTCCTACTCTAATGGAATGAATACCATCAGTGAAGAAGATTTTGCTCATATTCTTTTACGATATACAAATGTGGAAAATACATCCGTATTTTTGGAAAATGTGCGTTACAGTATAGCTGAAGAAAAGGTATCTAATACCCTATTTTTACTTTATTACATGTGCTATTATCTTGTAATTATATAAGTCTATAAATATATTGTTCTTTGTTAGTTCTTTTGCTCTGTGAATTAATAGATACTTTGGATATTTTTTTCCCATGTGTCCTAAGTTTTCTGGCTAAATTTTAAAAATGGCTTAATTTAAAATTCTGGGTAGGTATTCATATTTTTCTTAGATATGCTAAAAACCCATAAGGTTGTTAACAATTATTTTATTCAAATTATGAATATCATTTTTCAAGAGAATTCTGCTGAACTATAGGCTGTGACTACTATATAAACATCACCTCATACAAAGCAGTTTATATTGACATCAGTCACACTTGATTCATTTCTATAACATCCTTAGTAAAAGGTCATTTGAAGATAGCCATTGGTGAGTGAATGATCTTATCAGCAGTTGAAGTGAGGTTTTTCAAAGAGTTTGGATGGCATGAATGGTTAAGGACCTGGAACAACTGATTGTCTATTTGTTTAGTAGCAAGTGTTTTGTCAGCAATTCTGTGCAGTTGTGCATTATCTAGTGGTATTTGAATGCATCGTTGCAACCAAATAGAACTGGTGTTACAAGCAACCCGTCAAGCATGGGATGTTTTGGATATATTGCCTTCTATTTGTGTTTGTAGAAGGATCAAGGTAATCTATCCAAGAAAGACTTGCAAATAGTTTGACTTTGTATAAAATGGATACCTGGTGACAGTGCTAACAATTCTCCAGGAGAAAAAAGGACTTGATTTATTTGGCCAGTAGTTTTACATAATCTCTCAGTTAGGGGTCTTTTATCAGTTTTACATGTTAAACTGATTTTTTTTTTATTCATAGACACTTCCCTAAAAATAAATATTGAAATTGTACTATGTCAAATTACTAGGATATTTTTACGGTCTTAAAGAATCCTACAGTGCTGAGGAAGGTAAGGGAAACCTGATCCCTTGTTGGGCCTCTTCACATTGCTGCTGACCAGTAAATGGTATCTTTGAGAGAAGAAAAAACAACAGTGAATCTCTCCAATGATATCCCAAATTTGATGATCAAACCCTTTGAGAGTGCTAGGCAGTTAACTCTAATATGATGAACAGTTCTGCAATGGGGGGAAAGATCCTGGGGTGTCAGAACCTGAAAGCGTCTTAAAGCCATCACCTATTCAATCCCATCCTTGTACAGTCAAGAAAACTACGGCTCAAACTGGTGAGGGCACTTGCTAGTTGGGGAGGAATTAACAGCAGAGACGTTATGATTTCCCAGTCTAGAGACTTAAGGACCTGCTTTAACAATCACTGCACCAGGCCTCTAGTAATGTATATATTGATACACATTATATGGTGTCCCCAGATTCCTTAGGCTCTGTGCATTTTTCTTCATGCTTTTTTCTTTCTGCTCTTCAGATTGAATAATTTCAATTGTCCTGTCTTTAAGTTCATTGTCTCTTTTTTCTACTCGCTCAAATCTACTTTTGAACCTCTAGTCAGTTTTTCATTTCTGTTACTATACTTTTCAGCTCCAGAATTTTTTTTTTTTTGGTTTCTTGATTTACAATTTGTTTAATTATTTTGTTAATACATAGTTTTCCTGATTTCCTTTAGTTCTTTGTTCATGGTTTCCTTTAGCTCTTTTGAAAATATTTAAGACAATTTGTTCAAAGTCTTTTTCTTTTTAGTCCATTGTCTGAGCTTCCTCAGGGATGGTTTCTGTTGACATATTTTTTCTATTTCTTTATACTCGTAATTTTTGCTAAAAACTAAACATTTGAATATTATAATGTAGTAACTCTGGAAATCAGATTCTCTTCCACAGTTCATATGTATTCTTTGTCATGTACAGTTGCTAATGATTATGTTCCATTATCTTAGTGGTTAGCCAGAGAACTGATAGAAATTTTCTTAAATGCCCAGAGCCAGGAAGAAAATAGATAGTATTCTCCCTGAAAGTATTGACATTATATTTACAGTTTGCTTAAAAATATCCCATCCTCCTGTTTTTCACTTTTACTAGCAATTAACATGTCACCCTGAGACAGAGACTGTTGCTGTGGCATCTGGTCGCAGCATACACTGATTCAGAGCCAGAACAGTGACCAGTTTCCCTGGCAACAAGCTCTCCACAGCAGGACAAACCCCTTCTGGCTCCGTCTCCCTAATTGATTCGAATGGTCCTCTCTGGAAAACATGACAGGTGGGATTGGGTCACAAAGCAGAATTCAGGTTTGGAACCGGCAACCCTGAATGTAAAAAAAGAGAAAGAGAAAAATGTGAAAAGACAGTGAGGATTCTCCTTGCAAATAAAGAGGGATTGTAATTAAAGTGGGAATAATGTATATAAAACTTTGTTCTTATTTTGATAAGAAACTTATAATAAATATTATTTTGGTAATAAACCACTTAATCAGTAGTTGGCTTGCATGAAAATAGGCTCTTCTGGTTTTTTCTCTAGCTTTCCAGTGCAGCCTTGTTAGTATGCCTTCCCCTACATTCAGGTCAGAATTGGTTAAGCCTAAGCTCTTGGCCCTCGCTCTTTTCAGTTTACTTTTTCTTTCAATCACATTAATTTACTGAGTAGAACACTTAATTAAATGCAGCTCTTGATGCCCAAATTTGTATTATCTGAAATATGTGGTATTTATTTTAAATAACTTCCCTATTTAATTCAAATAATAGTAGTGGCAATAATTGTAGCTTATGTAAATGACATTCCAGAGTCCTGTCCATGATCCCACACCAAGCCCTGCATCAGGCCGCCCTGAGCTGTATGTACAGTCACTATGCTTCCTCCTGCTGTGCTGGCCATGCTCTCACAGCAGGAGCAAGTAAAAATACACTACTGTTGGCTTATTTTCATTTTTCATTGTCATTATAAAGATATTGATGATCATCATACAATGTTAAATTATATTTAATGAGTATATGTACAGTAGAAACTTTTTTTTAGGTGTCTTTTTAAAACTCTTCTTTTTTCCTTCATCATCATATTTACTTTCAGGGTTTAAAAAATTCAGGCCTGCAATGCAGTTTTCGAAATTGAAGCTTTTCTATCCATTTTCATTGTAGCAATTTTTTGGAACTTTGTGCTGATAAGAGAGTATTTTTAAAATATTTTCACCTAACATTGCTAGTGGTAGCAACACTGCCAAGTAAAAAAAAAAAAAAACTGAGTGAATTTTACATTCCATCTGGAGAAAGGTTTCAGAATGTGCCCTAGAAATGTTCACTTGCAAGTTATATTGCACATGGTTAGTCTATTTCTTTCTAGTAAATGTAGGTATTTTTTTTAATAAATTTGGTCACACTAAAATCTATTTACATATATTTTCTCAATATAGGGCATCACATTTGATGAATTCAGGTCATTTTTCCAGTTTTTGAACAACCTAGAAGATTTTGCAATAGCCTTGAATATGTATAACTTTGCAAGTCGTTCTATAGGGCAAGGTAAGTAATGATCTTTCAACAATTAAAAGCAAAATACAACCCTACATTGTTTCTAGGGACTTTGACAGCAAATTAATTAGATATAATAGCATATAAGCCATCAGTTGCCTGAAAGTTTATTGTGTTCTTCAATGGGAAATCTGTTTTCCCTAAGCAGAGTTTAGGGAAATAGGCTAAATATTTGTATAACAATATGCAATATACAGATGATGTATTATAGAATTATACACCTAAAACCTATATAATTTTATTAACCAGTGTCACCCCAATAAGTTCAATAAATAAATAAAAATGTTATTGCCCTTCATTTCTTACTATGGGGGGAAGCTAATGATGTTTGTAAAAGTTCAAAGAGAAAAACACCTCATGACTGCTTGGTAACATTGAAGGATGTGTGTCTACTTATGGAAGAGCCAGCTAGTCATGCCTCAGCCATCATCACAGGATGATGCATGTTACCCACAATCCCTGTGGCTCAGAAACCTGAATTTTGTCAACAAAAGCCCCCCCTTAGCTATGGACTCACATTAACCATGTTTTAAGAATGGTATGTAAAATTGAATGTCAATTTTGCTTAATTTTACAAAGAAATACAACTGTCATAGAATCCAGTGCTGTTGACCTCAGAACCAGCTCTTTCTTTCCCAGTAGGTAGACCAACAAGTCAAGTCCTTTTCTAGAATTCTATGGCCATAACTACTCTCCTTTCTTCCCTCATGGCAATATCCTTTTTAAATATTCTTGCCATACAAGGACTTTCTGCTCATGTGTTTAAGATGATTTGACCTGTGTCTGCCATAATCCATTTTCCAAATGTAACCTGAGGGGACAGAACTTATTGTTTTATTGCCAAGCTCCAGGGAGAAGCCAAACTGCAGCCCATGAGCACTAATAATAATTATCTCTCTCCCAAAAGCATGGAGATTGAGTCCCTCATATGGCTTCACTCATTTATTCATTGAGGAAGAGAAACCTGAAAATGTGTCATTTTACCTTTGGTCTATTCTAGATGTTCAAATAGGGCATCTTCTCAATTCAACCCATTTTCGTGAAGGAACCCAGCCATTCCAGACTAGCGTTTACTACCATGATAAAACTACTAATCAACCACAAGAGAAAAAAAAGTCTGGTTCAGAATGGACAGTTACTGTTTCACTTTGTGGAACTGGGAAATGGAAAAAATCGATTGTGTACTTTTGCAGGTGCTAGGAATATACCTACCTCTTTATTTTCTGTTGTCACTGCTAGCACCTTAATTCAAGTTATTATTACCTCTTAAAAGGATCTGGTATTCCTGCCAATACCCACATCCCTCTCCAATATTTCCTAGACAACTCACAGAATAATCTTTCGAAAACACTGATTAGCCTTTCTACATGCCGGCTATGGAAAATTCTTTAGTTCCCCAGCTGCCTGTTGAAGAATATACAGGTTCCTCACCTCAAAGTCCCTGCACAGAGCTTCTCCAGCTCTTGTATTTCCAGACTGCTCCTTGTTTTCTGAATGTGTTTTATACCCTCCTGAACCCTCCATGCCTTTGTGCATGTCATCTCATCTGCCATTTCTCTCATCTCTACAAGCTGAAATCTTCTATCCTTGGGGCTCAGCTCAGATACAAAATTGCAGCTTTTCCTAATCACTGCTCTTCTCTCTCCTTTCCCTACTCCACGCTACAGACAGAAGTAATCACTCATTTCTAAATTCTCATAGTGCTTTGTTGGTACTTTCATGTGGTTCTGTGTATGGTTATTTGGGCAGATGTCTCATGTATTGGAACTGTAAGAGAACTAAAGTATCTGTCACTGATAGTAGGTGCTCATTAAACATTCATTGAATATGAATGCATATTAAACTAAAATACAGTTATTCTTGGCCCTTTAAATTAAAACTACAAAAGCTGGATAAAAAAAGACGTGGTACTTTTACACCATGGAATACTATGCAGCTGTTAAAAAGAAGGCTCTCTTACCCTTTGAGACAGCATGGAGGGACCTGGAGAGTATTATGCTAAGCAAAATAAGCCAGTCAGAGAAAGACTAGTATCACCTGATCTCACTCATACATGGAATCTAATGAATAAAATAAAATGATGAACAGAATAGATCCAGAGACACAGAAGCATGGAACAGACTGACAAATCTCAGAGGGAAGGTGGGGGTGGGGGTGGGGGTGGGTGGGAAGAGATTAACCAAAGAATTTACATTGCATATATGCATAACCCATGGACACAGACAATAGTGTGGTGAAGGCCTGTGCAGTGGGGGAGACGGGGGAGGGGGCCAATGGGCGGGGGGGACATCTAATACTTTCAATAATAAATAAATTTTAAAAACTACAAAAAGTTTTTTTTAAAAAAAAGATAGCATGATTAATGAAAAGTCATGTTACATAAGATCATGACCCATGTGTTTAGGAAAAAAATGTGTTTTATAACCTTTTTAGTAATTAATACATATTATAAAAATAATAATGGCTTACTCCTTTTCTGTAACATTTATCTAGATGAATTTAAGCGTGCCGTCTATGTGGCTACTGGTCTCAAACTTTCACCACATTTAGTGAACACAGTCTTCAAGATTTTTGATGTTGACAAAGATGATCAATTAAGTTATAAAGAATTTATTGGAATTATGAAAGACAGACTCCATAGAGGATTCCGGGTAAACCTATATATTTCAACCCTATTGATATTATTTTTTTAAACTGAAAGGGAAAAATCCACCTAAGTTTCAGAAACAATTTATATACATTTTTCATAAAATGTTATACTTGAAAAGAAAAATATAAGGCCCTACCTACTTTCAGAAACAATTTGAAGTGATAAGACAATGCTTTTTTAAATATGAAATCAGTTTGAATATTAATAACTTAATTTCATAATCAAGTAGTTCAATGTCTTCATCCCAATTTGTGGGGGCAAAAGTTGCCAAATATTTTTTATTAATTAATCTGCACACTTGCTATCAAACTTGTTAGTATACAAAGGAATACCACCATTTCTCATTTTACATGATGCAGATTCCCACTAGGCAACTGAGATGCTTAAGTCACCGTATATTCAGCACTTTTCATATAGAAAATAAAGTAAAAACATTTTTTGTCTGCTGATTCTTCCTGTTAAAAACTTACACTGTAAAATAATATGAAAAATTCAGACTTTATTTTCAAGTATGTTTTAAAGAATGAAATATAGCATGAATCAATAAATGTTTAGATATGTAGCATATTTGTAGGTGGTGCCAAAAGTGGGAAAAGAAAAAAAAATTTCTATTAACAGCTAGAATATGCAGTTATCCCTCCTTGGTAGGAATACCCCTAAGTATTATACATTTAAAAAGAGGAAAAGTTATATATACAATAAAATCAAGATTCATCATAGACAATGTTTTTAAACATTTTTAATGATTTTTTAAAATCCAAGCTGTTTTAGTAACGATACGGTGTACTTAACTGCCACCTAGCGGCCAGTCATTAACATTTGAAATTATGGCAAAAGTACCTAAAAGGGCATGTATTGAAAATTATTTATTCTTCCTCAGAAATTTTAGAGTAGCAATATCAAATTGAAGTATAAACTATGCTATAAACCTCTGATGCTGCATTTTTCTCTTAGATGTTGTGTGTTTTATTTTTTGCTTTATTTATTGCATATTTGTGGCCCTGTAACATTTCATTGACTTTTACATTTTTTAATCCTCTGTTCCACAGGGTTATAAAACAGTTCAGAAGTATCCCACTTTCAAATCCTGTCTGAAGAAGGAACTGCATAGCAGATAAGTATGTTAGCTTCTCTGTCTAAATTGTTCAATAACAATAAAGGAAGGGTCATGATTTATTTTTCTGCTGTGACATTTAGGAAATAACTAAGAGAAATACATTTTATTTTTAATTTTTAGGTCACTAATTCAAACTAAGAATTACTCTGTTAATGATTTTACTTTAGTAACTTTATTTTATTTAGTAATTCAGTTGATGAATTAATCATTATAACAAAGAACTACTTTGCCTCTATTAAGTTGTGAAATAAACTGGATTTAAATACTCATCCAATTGGTGTTCTCTTGAAATGTCTTGATTGAAAACAATTCTGTTTAACCTGCAACTTTGTATCTGAGTAGACATAAAATAATAACTTCATATTCGACTATTATAATGTAGAATCATTAACATCTAAGGAATATTTTTTACTATTTTTTAGGATCATGATTCCCAATGTCTGCTACAATAATAGAAGCTAATCTTTGTAGAGTTATTTTAGATGCTTGGCACTATATTAGGTGTTCTTCCACCTGTAGACTCTCATTTAATCCTCACAGATACCCCGTTTAACAGCCGAGAAAATACAGTGGGGCCTTGACTTATGAGTGTCCCGACTAACGAGTTTTTCCTCGAGATAGGAGCCGTCTCTCGGCTGATTTTTTGCTTTGAGTTGCGAGCTAAAATTCGGGTTACAAGCCAGCTTCAGATACCCCATCGCTAGTTGGCGCAGCGAACGTCACAGTGAACGCCACAACATCAGCCCGGCATCACGTGTCATTGTAATGGTGAAAATTGATTTGACATACGAGTAATTTGAGTTACGAGCTCCGTCACAGAACGAATTAAACTCGTAAGTCAAGGCCCCACTGTAGAAGCTTAATGAGTCATTTGCCCAAGATAACATGCGCTAATAAGTCACAAACTCGGGTTTGAACCTCATTCCGTCTGATGGCAAAGACATATTATTATTTTCTAAACTATCCCTGCAGAAGGCCATAGGTGAGGAAGATACAGGAGGCTCATTCAGTTTGTTTCAACCCAAAGAAATGTCTCATACTTGTTGATCTCCAAAATGAGGGATTTGTTTTTCCCTTTCTCTTCTATAAGTCACCTGTACCTATAAATTTTTGGTCGATTATGGGTTCCAATTAGGTAGGTCTCTAATTACAAAAATACATTTATTGCTGTTTTTCTCAAGCTGGAAACATTTATATTTATTATAGCAGTATTACCAAAATTGTTCCAAGCGATATTGATGCATATTATTTTAAAAGTTTAGTTAAATAAGTTAGAGAAATATAATAAACATAGTTAAATAGGTTCCTTCCTCCTTAGAACTTACGGGATCTTATTATGCATTTGCGTCTCTAAAAGAAAACGGCAGTATTCTGTATTTCGCAAAGTAGCTCTGAGGCCTAATGTTTTATGGAGCCCGTCCTGGGAAATGCTGGTCTAAACTGTTTAGTGGCAAGTAGGCTAATCATTCATCTGAGGTGGTAACTGTTGTGACTGAGCTAACAAACCATCTTCCTAATCTCTGTTTTAAAGAACTTGATACTGCCCTGTAAGAACTTAAACTGAACATTAAAAAACATAGGACCATGCCATGTATATGTTCATATAGGTAGTGTACTCAACTAATTTGTCATAGTGTCACTCTGACGCTATTGATTCTATGCTGTAATTCATAGAACCATAGATAAAAAGGACTACATTTTTTCTAGACCTTGAAAGAACTGAGGACTAGACAAGTTACTAAACAAAACCCTGAACTTTTAAATTAAAAGAAATGTTTTATGATTAAGTCTTTTGATCCTTGTATTTTCTGTTCGGTGTTTTTATTATGTGCCTTACTGTTTCATATTATTATCATAATAATATTTGATTAATGTCATCACCTCTGAATTTCATGCTAAATAAATATTGCTTATATTTTTTAATTAGGTTCTTGTAAAGCAAAGTTTAAAGAATTTATCTACATAACAAATGCAAGAAGCAGTAATTTCAGAAAACAGAAATGAAGGAAAAGGTGAAATGCTAATTATATTTTTTCTTGAACTGAATTCTTGAATATAAGACAGATAAAATGCATCTTCATACTAACTACAAATGCTGTATGTTATCAGGTTAAGCTTTTGCCTTGATTTACTGAACTTTGCACTTTTTCATTCCTTTCAGAAGTACATAGATACTTCCACTGACTATATAAGAATGTATTTTAAATATTTTAAAATTTATTAGAAATTTGCCTAACCTCAAAATAATGTATGACTCCTGGAATCTAGATCACTTAAAAATGAACAGTGACATATTTTCTTTGGTTTTAGACTGTGAACTTATTTTAAGAAAATGAATATTCCTTAAGATTTAGCTTATGGCCTTAGAATTGTTGATAAATCCCTATTATTTATCTGATGTTCAGTTACATTGAAAGTGTTCTGAAAAACATATAGAAATTAAAATACTATACAATATGATGATTTACACTGTACTTTTTTAAAACTACTAAATTAACAAGGTATTGCTTGAGTCATATGAAGTTTTTTTTGAAGTTTTTATTCATTTATCAAAGTCAACAGAATGTCTAGTATTCTTTTATGTATACAGTACAGAAATTTAAAATGTAGATTTTTTTTCCTCAAAAATCGTCCTATATTGGTGGTAGAATAGTGGTAGTTGTAGCATCAGTCACCGTCATTGTCATTATTGTTTTAACATGATGCTGCTCCTGATTACAGATGGTGTATGTTAATAGCACTAGTAAAAATCATATCTTTTTTTTCTTTTTTTTATCTTAAGTTTTACATATGTCTCCTTTTTCCCCAATTGACACCCCCCCACCCCCCGCCAACCATTCCCACCATGGGCAAGCCCCCACCGCCCCAGTGTCTGTGCCCATTGGTTATGCTAATATGCATGCATACAAGTCCTTTGGTTGCTCTCTAAACCGCCCCCCCACCTCCCCTGCCATTTGTCTCTGGATCTATTTTTGTTCATCTAAAAATCATATCTTACAATTTGTAACTTATTGCACATTGTTAATAAATGTCTATAGCATCCAAATGAGTACTGTAAAAGACTAATATAAAATGGTTTAAGGACTTATGTAAATATTAGGTAGAAGTTAATATTTTGTTTCTTGCAAAAGGACCACCTGCAAAAGCGATAACAGATAGTAATAATGAATAATTTAATGTACTTCATTATTTCAGAATATGTCTTAAAAGAGAAAAGAAAAACTGTTAAGAAATAGCAACATTAGACTTTCACATGGAGAAAATTTGATAGTACTTAATGGAAATCTGTTCAATTGAAAAGTTTAGTTTATAAAAGATTACTATACAACAAAAGTAGAACAATAAGTTTAAATTAATATGTTAATGTATTATATGTAGAAGATATATTCATTTATCTTCTTTTCCAACATGTATTTAATGTAATTTGTACACACTCCAGCTATTACCTTGCTTTTGCATATGAAAACAGGAAATACTGACTTTGTTTTTATAAGTTATTAAATGTGAAATTGATAGCTATGCATCAGCCTATTTATAAAAGTAATGTTATTTCCAAGAAAATGTTATTAGCATTGGCTATGTATTTGACTTTTTACATTCTTTATCTGATATTATTTATTACATTGATGTAGCAATGTGGTTCATAAATGTGAGGATTCTATGTAGTATAATAATTTAATTTCACCTTCTTTCAAGTTTGATTCAATTGATTGACTAAATGAAAATGCCTATTCACTCATTTAACATACCTGGTCTATGTTACCTTACCTGAATGTTCTCAACATTATCTGCTATCTAAAATAATTGAAAAATGCAGTTTACTTTTATCTTTGACTATAAGTTATATTATCTTGCATACATGGAAAAATTGCCATTTAGGAAAGTCCTATAATGCACATTAAAAACTAAATTAGCTCATTAAAATTGTAATTCTGTCATTCTCCCAAGGAATACTACATTGTGATCTTTATTCATAATTGCTTATCAGAGTGAATGGATATTCATTTGTTTATAAGACTGTAGCATAGTATTAAGTTGGAATAAATGAAATATTCTGGTCAATTAAAATGGAAAAGAGTAGTAAATTACAATGATTCCCTATATATTATCACTCATGAACTTTAACCCTCTAATTAAAATGAGAGATAAAAAGAACTCTTTGGATTGTTGTCTATATCAAATGAAAAATTTTAAGCGCTTTGAAAATAGTAATATACTAAATACATTTATGCTAGTATTCTCAGAATTTCCTTCTACAAATTATTCTTTGGAAAGGTGAAATTATACATAAAATTTTAGTATTATCCTCTTTACAGAGTCTACATGATGAAAGATTTGTGGTACCTCTCAGAATCATTTAATATTAAGAAAATCATTTAACTTAACTTCCAATTTATTGTTCTTATTATAAAATATAGCTGTAAAGCAACCTTACATTCTTATATTATCTGAAAATAAATATACCTGCTCTTGAATCAAGAAACTTAGTACCTTGCTTTTATGTTTATCTGTGGACTGATGTCTTTTTAAAAAATTGTCACTTCCAAACTTCGAAACTGTTTATTGGTTACCAAACCTCCATTGGTCTCATACCCTCTGCTATCATATTACATGCCAACGAAATGAATCACAACACGTCTGTAGGTAAACAAATCACAGAGCCATAAAGCCTCTCAAAATGTATAATAGGCATTGATACTGTATATAATGTGGTCATTGGTACTGAGAAGCTTTCAGAAAGTTTACTTGTGACTTAATGGAATATCAGTTTTGCTCTACAGAAGTGATTGCTTAAATGGCTTAAAATAATTAAACCAACACAGCCCCTTTGGTACTAATTTTGGTTCTTTTGTAGGCATCATCTTATCAAGATGACTCTTAGAAATTTACCAGTTTTCAAAATATACTCATTATCCTACTCTTTATAGCCATAATAAATTAACATTTTTACATACTGCTTTTACTTCCAAAGGATGTAAAAATACCAATTGTGTAATACTCAATAAGTATACAATAAAAATTTTAGCGATAAGAAAGCATAGTTTTTTTTCTTTTCTTTATAAGTTT